CATGAATTCTTCTACTGGGGAACCATCTGAGTATGCATTTCAAGCTGAGTTCTCTGCCATCATCAAAAGTTTGCTTTCAGCAACGTATTCAGTGAAAGGGTACAAAACTTTAGTTGAGGTCAAAGAGTGCGATGATAATGATAATCGTCATCAGCGCTTAGACATCCTCGTTTGCAACTGTGACTCTCCTACATATGGTTATGAACTTGTTGTTGCACCAACTTTGGAACATTTCCGAGATCATGTCAGGCGCGCAAAACACTATGCCAAAGTCCATAAGACTAACAACATGTTCATAGTCAACTTGTGTCCCAAGCCTTCTGTGGATTATTTTGAAGAGATGACGTCAGTGAGGAGATCTTCAAGGTTAGCCAACAAGGTTCAACCATGTTATGCAGAGAACCTACAGCAACCACCGGAGCCTTTTGTATTTCCAACAAATGTGACTGTCATGAACGTGACTATAAGGAAGGAAAACAAGGGATTGGTGGCGAATCTGGTTTATAGAGATGGAAAAGAGAACACTATTGTGATCAAGGGTTCTGAATGGTACATGTAATCTCGATAATTTACTATGTATAGGAGCCTTGTACTGATTACATAATAAATGTTCAGATAAATCAATGATTTGTCATTATGCCATGTTAATGTACTTTGTAAATATGTTTTTACTGACGACTGACATGCTTATAAAGATTTACACAAGCAATTTAACCACGGTACAAAAAACGCGAATTGTACACAAAACTGTGGCACTTACTTCCTTATATTGTACCTCTTTCTTGATTTGTGGCCGTTATTATTGGGCCTACGAATGATAACTAGGGTATGGATGTGTTATTATAACCATTTGTGAATAAAATGCATATTTTAGAATCCTTGCTCAGAATCTGAAATTACTTTTCTTTTGGGGTAAATAGTTATTTATATCTCCATGAGGAGCAAAAGGCATGTAAAACTAAAATCACCCTATATCATAAAGAAATTGTTAAAACAAACTACAAAATGATAAAAATTATATATAGGATTACCCATATATGGAAAATAGTGAATATAATGAATTTGAAAAATCCATGCGCTTCTTGGATATAGGTTGTAAATGTGGTTGCTCAAAAATGATTCCGAGAGAGAAGTTTGCCAAATTATGTGAGGCGTTTCAAGCTCTCTCTAGATCCGAACAAGATATATTTTTAATAGCCCAATTGAAAGCAATGAATGGTGGAGAAATAACTGCCAGCTGATGTCTTAAAAAGAAAACGCGTACTAATAAAAGAACCTTTTATTATTGAGATCGCAACACACCTCTTTGTCAGAAAACTTATCTCAATATGTTAGGAATTGGTCGCACTCACTTCGAAAACGTCAGAAATCATCTGAAAACGAATGGCATAATACCGCGCGTTCATGGTAACATAAAACGAGTGCCGCAATGGAAAACCAAAATAACCATTGATATAACTGTTGCTACTGCAGTGAAGAATTTTCTCGAAAATTATGCTGAAATTCATGGATTACCAAGTCCTGGTAGAAATGTTAATCGCATTACTCAATCGCTTACACTTTTACCAGCCAAAACAAGTTACAAATCCATCTATCGTGATTTTATTGCAGGCCTTGAGAACGATAGCATGTTGAAATTGTTAAAATATGATGCATTCCGCAAGTTGTGGCACCAACTAATGCCTTATATTCATATTATGAGTCCAAGAACGGATTTATGTGACACATGTCAACATTTCCGGAACGGCTTACAATACAATGCTCGCAAGGAAGAAGAAGCGAAAAATTTATTGAAAAAATTCAAAGAACATTTAGTTAAAGCCAAGTTAGAGAGAAATTATTACAACAAAAATACGAAATTAGCTGAAGAACAAAGAAAATTAGTAGATGAGCAGTTTATAATAAGAGGTAAAGCTGATTATTGTAGCGTTGACGCTACTACTCATTACAGTTACGATTGGGCACAAAACGTTCACATGCCCCATTCCGATCAACAAGTAAGTAAGATCTATTATATCAGTCTGCGTAAAGTACATTTATTTGGTATTCAAGATGAAGCAGTACGTGAACAAATTAATTATGTTCTCGATGAAGATGAAATTATTGGCAAAGGTCCTAATGGCACACTGAGCATGGTATTTGATGGGATTAAGAGATTGAATAAAGGTGAAAAGTACTTAAAGATTACTTGTGACAATGCGGGTGGACAGAATAAAAATAATGCCACCATTTGATTTTACCTGTATTTAACAATTTGTGGTTATTATGAAAGTATTGAATTAAATTTCATGATACCTGGACATACTAAATTCAAGTGTGATGGTAGTTTTGGATTGG